TATATATATATATATATATATATATATAAAGATATATCAAAGTACCTTTTTTCTTAATAGAATGGCTGCAAATTATAGCAGGAAACCAGAGGTTTCTTGGGGGAGGGGGGGTTCTCTGAAGCTCTAAAGAAAGGGGGATTCTTTTATGTATTAAATGTTTTCTCCTTTATGTCTTATACTAATACAAAACATTCACTGAATGGCACTTACATCAACATTTATAATCTTTTAAAACTTTCAGAGGTCTAGTTGCATACTTTCAACAGAACCACTTTGCCATATTATGCTTTGCACATATTTAGGTATCAATAAAACTTATGAAACAGTAATAACACTTGCATCACTAATACTTAGGGTAACTTGAGGAAAACAAAATAAATCAAATTGCTGATTTAATGATTGATAAACTTTAGTTGAAAATGTTATGCAGTTAAAATGAAAGGAATGAAAATATGTTACTGTTAGTCTTTGTTAGTTAATGTATTATATGTACCTCTCTGTTATGGTATATATATCTTGACTATTGCAGCAGGTGAAATTTCTGTGTATTAATTCGTTATTTCTTCCCCTCGATGGGAATTCTTGTACATGGTGAAATCTGAACATCCACCCACATGTTTGTCATGAAGGGGGAGGAGAAGATCCTGGTAGTTGAGTGGTGTCTGGAGTGCTGCAACACACCACTTGAATTCCTGGTCCTGTTGGGCTAGGGTCAACTGAGTACCAGTGTTGGGTGTTCTCAACAGGTGTTGTGGACATTTTGTCTGATGCTGGTGTTTGGGTATAGTGCTCACGAAGCCCTGGCATTGCTGCAGTGTCCTTGTCTGGCATTGTAGTGCATCCACTCATAGGATTCCATGGCGGGTGGGGTCAGTGAGTACTGAACCATTCTCCTTTTATTATGGATCCCCCCCAAGTCCTCAAAAAAATAAAATAGTAAAATCTCAGCTTATTGGTAAATGACCATGCCTCGAAGACTGATCATCAATATTCAATTCATCTTGCTCCTGTGCCTCGTTTTTAGATTTTGCATTCCTTGTCAGAAAAAAATTTAGGACAAATATCTCCTTTTTTTTATTCAGAAGGGCTTGCTTGCTCTCCAAAGTCAGTCAAGAAGCTATGTTCTGGGGACATCTTGGTGGAAACATTAACACCAAAACACAGAGAACTCCTCTTGAATTTGAAAGCCATTGAGGTTACTCCTCATGCTACTTTGAATTCCTCATGAGGAGTTATTGTTGAGAGGGATTTGAGTAAGAGATCCTCGCTGGTTTCTCCAGCCAAGGAGTTTCTGCAGTGTGACGTATTTCCACTTGTAAAGAAGCAATTATGCTGCCTACCAATGTTCTTATTTTGACATTAACATCGCCACGTCCACCTACCACTGTCAAGGCATGTTATCTGAACTGTAAGGTATGGCCATATATTCCCTACCCTCTCGGATGTTTCCAGTGTTTAAAAACTGTTAACAACGTTTCTTACCTCAAGGCTCGGAAGATATTGTCCCCTAGTCTATCTCGGACATATGCTGCTGCAATACGCTCCACTGCTACAGTGGGAGTGCAGATGGACCTTTCTGTGCCTCCAACACTATTTTTTTTTTTGAATCATGTGAAGAGTCTTTTGCCCTCAATGGATAACCGTGTTGGCAAGTCAGTGTCTACTCCTATCTTTGGCCCGGGCTTCCAGTGTCTGCTCGGGTCCATCTTCTTTGGCCCTGAGATGTAGAACAATTATTCGTTCATGCCCTCAGTCACTGGAATCTAAGTCTAATGACAGAGATCTGCACACTCAACTAAGGGAAGGATCCATGGAGGTCAACAGACCTTCTTCTAGTAAAGAAAAACAGAAGGGTTCTTCACACAGTTGTCATCCACCTAAGTAAAAATGGCTATGATTTTTTTTGTGTGAAAGACTTATTATCTGAAAAACTGCCAAATTTTGTAAAGATATACACTCTATATTGAAAGATAGACATATTAAATCTATAAAGACTTTAAATGAGTACAAAGAGGTCACGTGATCGATAAAATTGACCAAGCCTGAGTTGAGAGAGTTAAGGCCTTGATTAATTCCTATCATCCTGTGTGTCTTTCCTTACAGGAAACATTCCTGAAACTGATCATGTCACCTTTTGGCAGTTTTCTTTATACAGGAATGAGGAGTTGTTTGATAGAGGGGTGGCACTGTTAGTAGACCAGCATGTGCCCACCTTGTTGCAGTCACTCGATACACCCTTGGAGGCCACAGCCATCTATTTTTCCTTGGGTCATACCATCACTCTTTGTTCTCTCTTCCTGTCTCCTGGAGAGACTCATGATCAATCAGACCTTGAACAGTTGTCATCTCCCTTTTCAGTCCCTTTTAATCTCTTACTGCCATTAATCTATCTATCTGCTCTCCTTCATTTTTCTTGGAAGGTTGACAGTGACCTACAGGGCAGTGATCATTTTCCTATTGTTTTGAGGGAGACTGATGTGGTCAATGCCACCCTACACTAATGCCATGGTGGAAGTTGGACTGGCTTTCTCACGAAACTTGATCCTGCTGTCATTAGTCTTCCATCTATTAATGACTGCATGGAGGCAGTAACTGATTACTTCATTTAAGTAGCTGTTCATTCTATACCTAAAAACTCGACATGTTTCCCATGGTGGTCTGAAGCCTGCCAGTAGGTATGGAAAGCTCAGAAACAGGCCTGGGATACTTTTTGCAGGTATCCCACTCTTTCCAACCGCATCGCTTTCTAGCGGGCCCGTACCCATGCTCGGCAGGTCAGACATCAAAGCCAAAAGGAATTTTGGATTAAGTTCACAGCTAGCATCTCTCCTACTGCCAGTTCCAAAGTTATATGGTATAAGATTCGGAAGTTCAATAGGAGGTATTCTTTCCTTCCCCTTTTCATCTTGCTCTCCAATGGCCAAGAAGTTGCTGATGTACAGAACATTGCCTATACTCTTGGCAAGAGCTTTTATCATGCATCCAGCACTTCTATTTCTTCCCCCGCCTTCTTAACAATCATGTCTTGGGCAGAGCGATCACCTCTTTCTTTTAATCACCTAATGATGTTCACTATGAGATGCTGTGCCATTTCTCTTGCTATTATTTTGGTTGTTTTTAACTGGATCTGTCATGAGAACATTTTTCCTGACACTTAGTGCCAGGCTATTGTCCTCCCTTTCTCTACACCTGGGAAGGATCCCAAGATTCCTTATTATTATTATTGTCCAATTGCTTTGACTAGCTGTCTCGCCCACCTCCCTTTCTCTTAGCCTGGGAAGGATCCCAAGATTCCTTATTATTATTGTCCAATTGCTTTGACTAGCTTTCTCGCCCATCCAGTGTGGGTTCCACCGAAAGCACTCCACCATGGACAACTTAATTTGACTTAACCTCAATCATGGAAACCTTTCTCAAGAGGGAATATCCTGTTTCGGTTTTCATCAATCTTGGGAAGGTTTATGGCACTATGTAGAGGTACGGCATTTTACGGTACCCCCACTCATATGGGTTGCATGGCCATCTACCCATTTTTATTCAGAACTTTTTACTCGACAGGCGATTCTGAGTCCATGTGGGTCGACACTTTCCCGTCTTTTCACACAGGAACTTGGAGTCCATCAGGGCTGGGCTATCTTGAGTGTCACACTTTTCAGTACCAAGATCAAAGCTATCACTACACATCTTCCTCTTACTGTTGCTAATGAACTCTATGTCAACGACTTCCACATCTCGTCGGTCATCGAAAATGAGGTTTATTGAGTGGCAGCTTCAGACTGCCTTCAGTCACTTGTTGAAGTGGACTGCAGCAAACAGTTTTACCTTTTCATTTTCCAAAACCATTTGCATGCATTTTTGCCACCAGCGGGGGTCTACACCCTGATCCTAAGTTCCATCTTGGTGATGTTGTT